ATAACTTTCATGGACTCCGTTAAGTTCTGCATCAGTTGCTGATTCACAGTTGTAGTTTGCAACTTATCTACATAGTCTTGTCACTATGTCATGATATCCCAATATTTTGCAAGAGTTTGCTGTAAGGATTAAATGAGATTAAAATGTATAAACATACAGGAGTGGATGGTTAGCCTGGCAATTAATATGCCTGTGTCCCACACCAAAGTCCCTGGGTTTGATTCCCAGCTACAACTTCTGACTGCACCTTCCTGCCATTGCAGACCCTGGAAGGCAGTGATGGTGGCTCAAGTAATGTGGGAGACCTGGACTGTATTCCTGGCTCTTGGCTCTGTCCTGGCCCAGCCCCACCCCTTGCAGGCGTTTGGGGGATAAACCACTGGAGAGGTGCTCTCCATCTGTCTGTCTCTCTTCCTCTTAAACAAATTCTGTGTGTGTGTGTACATAGTAGATGTGCAATTAATGGGAAGGTCCTCCTCTTCACTTTCCACAGGCTTGACATGTTTGTTTGCATTTTGTACCTTTGCCTAGAATACTCCATCCTTTGGGAAAAGTCAGCTCACTAATGAATATTCTCATGTTATGACTACTTCTGTTTGCTTATAAAACATTTTCCTGAGCTCATAGCTTGCAGTCTGGGTAAAGAGAACCCTGGGGGGGAATGGCCCGAGGCCTGGGGTGACAGGCATTTCCAGAAGCTGATGCTGTTGCCTGGTGAGCTGACTGGGAGCTGAATCCTACAGTGCAGTATTTGGCAGATGGGTCAAAAAGGCCAGTTACACTTGAGAAACATAGTACCTAAGGTAGAATTTGCAAGTTTGGGCCGGCGCCGTGGCTCACTAGGCTAATCCTCCGCCTTGCGGTGCCGGCACACCGGGTTCTAGTCCCGGTCGGGGCACCGGATTCTGTCCCGGTTGCCCCTCTTCCAGGCCAGCTCTCTGCTGTGGCCAGGGAGTGCAGTGGAGGATGGCCCAAGTGCTTGGGCCCTGCACCCCATGGGAGACCAGGAAAAGCACCTGGCTCCTGGCTCCTGCCATCGGATCAGCGCGGTGCGCCGGCCGCGGCGGCCATTGGAGAGTGAACCAATGGCAAAAAGGAAGACCTTTCTCTCTGTCTCTCTCTCTCACTATCCACTCTGCCTGACAAAAAAGATAAAAATAAAAAATAAAAAAAAAAAAGAATTTGCAAGTTTGGGCACCTGGATGTGTAAACAGGAGTAAGGAACTCAGGGTGGAGGTGGGAAGGTGGGAAGGGTAGATTTTCATGCCTCTGAGAAGTGGTTTTGGTGACTTCTTTACCCTCTGCAGAAAACAAATAATCCACACCAGTCAGCTGCACTCACTGGCACTTTAGAAAAATTCCTTTTGGTTTTTAAGGCTTTGATCCTTGTTCGGAAGTCAACACCCCTGTCACGGCTGACATGTCAAACTGCTAATAGTCACTCCAGTGTCAATGAAAGATCCGATAGGGGAGCCTTGGAGGAGAGTGGGAGAGCAAGATGCCAAAAGGTGGGGGGGGGGGGGGGCTGGTGTGAAGCGTGGCCCCGGGGCGCCAGCCTGACAGGCCCACGGGGACCCTGCAGACCCGCAGGACCCTTGGGTGTGTTTGAGGCTTGCATAGTTCAGATTTCTGCATGCCTGGGGACGTGCTCGCCACATGCCTTTCTCATGGCCTCGTGCTGTGCACCTCCACAGCAGAAGCCTCTGGCCCGGTCAGGTGCGTCCTGCTCACTGTGTTTGCAATGGGTCAGGCCTCAACCTTGGCTGCTGCTGCTCTCAGCTCCCATTCCCAGCCCTCCCCTCTCACTCCCTCCATATCCAGCAGGCCTTGCCTTTTCTCCAACTGCCCTTGACTGTCCCTCCATCATCTTCTACACTGGCCATTAGTCTGCATCCCAAACGTTCAGCCTTGAGAATACAGTGAGCTCTGCATTGCATCTGTAGTTGCTGTAGGCTTATTCTATCAAACATATGTACGTGTTCTCCCCAACTGAGCATGTCTCAAAGTGTGTCCATGAAACAGCAAGATCCTATTAAACACAAAGCAGATTTAACAATCTAAAGATAGGAGGCGGTCGCCTTGGCAAAGGTTGAAAACGCTGCTGCACCTGAATTCACGGATGTAGGCCCTGAGTCCCTGTGAAATGTTGCTCCTTCAAGAACCTGCTTTTCATCCTGCAAGACTCAGAACACCTGCTGTCTAGAGGGGTAGAAAGCACGTTGCCTTCTACTGGGGATCCCTGTGCTGGCTGAGGGCAGAGCTCGCAGGTTGTTAGCCATTTCTGAGTAAACTCTTAGGACTGTTATCTGGTTGGGGTGTGTGTGAGTGTGTGTGTGACATTTTTTATTGTGTTTGAATTCATATGAAGTTCATCGTTTTATATAATTCAGAGACATTTAGTGTGTTCACAGTGTTGTGCAACCATCACCACCCTCCAGTCCTGTACCCATGAAGCAGCCACTCCCCTCTCCCTACCCCCACCACCCCTATATCCACTCCTCTGCTGTCAGTCTCTAGGTATTTGTTCCGGACATTTAATGTAAATGCAATTGATGATTGGTGACCTTTTGTGCCTGGCTTTTCCCTTCAGTAAAGTTTTGATAGGGACACAAAATCTTAGACCTGGATAATAACCTCTGTTTCTCCAAAGGAGGCCTTCATCGTTGGCCAAAGCCCATAAATGTAGCAGTAACGAAAAGCAGTCACCCGTCTGAAAAAGCCTAAGTCACATGGCCAGGTTAAAAATATCACGGAACACTATAGAAAAGGAGCAGATCAAGAATTGCCATGGCCTGACCTGTGCTGGTTTGAGTCTGGCCTTGAGCCCCTCCCTCGAGGTCAGAGGTGGCTAAGCTGTTGGCACAACTGACTTAACACCCTTGCTAGGCCTCTTTCTAGTCAGAGGATTTGGCACTTCCAACTCCTCATCATTTATAACTGTAGAACATTCTAGAATGAGCTGAGCCCTCCCTTCTGAAGGGACGCTTATACTGTCCAGGGCACTATAGGAACCTTCACGGATCCTTTAAGCAGACTTGGAGCAAATGTTGAGGACTTACGCGAATGTTGGCTCTCCTGGGGCTGTCCATCTCGTGTCTTGGAATCCCCAAGATAACCATCGTGCCGATGGCTGGTAGCCCCTAGTCACCTGTGGTCAGCAGCAGCACCTGTAACCTGAAATGGTTCCACTGAACTGCTGGGGACCTTGTGTTCACTCTCCCTCCCTGTTCCCTGTCCCTGTAGCACTGCCCTAAAGCGGTGTCAGTGCCTGTGTTGAGAGTGCCATCTTCTGCCTAGCAACCTGCGGTACTGTCCCCATGTCTGGTTCTTGAGCCCTTCCTCCCAATCAGGCTGGTCTCATTCCCCTCTTCTACGTCATCTCACGGCAAGTGCCTCCTGGTTCAGAACCACCAGGGCTGGCCCCTCTCCTCTTGCCCTGGGTAATCCGAGTTCCTTCGAGGCTCCCTCGAGGCTCAGCAGCTACAAAGCACCTCCCTCTTGCTGCCAGCACCAAACTCATGTTGTACTTGCAAACCACAGAATTTGAGCCGGAAACATTGTTTTTAGGTGTCCCCCCGCCCCCAGTCTTCAGTGCGCTGCCTCTGAGGAAAGGACTGTAAAAGGCGGCACCAGTCTGAGGATCTGAAGGCCAGGTCCCCTCCAAATGCACCGCTTGCTGGCCAAATTGGCTTGGAGAAGCCACTGATCTTGAACTTCTGTTCTCATCAGCAGAACAAGTGAGGGGTAAAGTGGGTGTATTAGTTTCCTACCTGTTGCTATAACAAGTGACTGTAAACCTTAGTGACTTTAAAAAAAAAAACACAATGTGTTTTCTTATAATTCTGGGGGTCAGAAGTCCACAGTGGGTCTGTAGGGCTGCATCCTGTCTGGAAGTTCTAGGAGGGAATCTCTTTCCTTGTCTTTTCTAGTCTCTAGGGTCTGCCTGCATTGACTGGCCCCCTTCTCCGTCTTCAGAGTACGTCATTCCAGCTTCCGCTTCCGCCCCCACGCCTCCTCCGCATGGCTCTCCGGCCTCCCTCTTTCTCTCATCCTTCCATTGGGCCCACCCAGGGAATCGCCCCGCCCCAGCATCACACCCGCAAAGTCTCTGTGGATATGACTGGGGGCTGTTACTCTGTCCACAGTGGACCCTTAGCTTTCCTACATCTCTAACTGATCATGACTCTGAAGACTTACTTGTTCCACTTGGAAAGCTTAGCCCACACAGCACCAGGGTGCATCAACTTCTTCATACATTGTACCTGTCCACGAGGATTTCCTCCTCCCTGGCTGCTGTGAAGAGACTCCAGGGCCTGACGGAACCGTGAACCAGGCCTTAGGATTATTCTCGTTTAGCGGCTTCCTCTGACAGCACTTTGACACATGAAAATTTGATGATGCTTCTCTACCCAGCCTTGATTTGTGTGTCTGTGTGTGTGTGCTTTGCCGATTTTGAAAAGACTTCAAAGAATTTTACCTGGTTCCCAGTAACCAGGGACAGCCGTTAAACAGCTAGTTAATTTTATTGGTGATTCTACCGCATTTCTAATGGTTTCTCCAGGAAGCCCTAGATGCATACCCAGGTACACTTGCTTAAGTGGAAGTAGTTGATATTGTTAAGATCTGAAGGCCAAACAAGACTTGGCTACTAACCTAGATAGTCTCCTCTGTAACTGCTACTTGATGTAAAATTTGTGGTATGGCACAGCAATTTAATTTAGTATTTATATGAGAGCTATGCTATTTTTCTTACCCTGTTTCCTATCCGGATGAGCACCACTTAAATAAAGCAGTGAGAAAATATCCATAAAATGTGTTTATAGTGGCTGTATTGTATTCTTCCCCAGTGCTTAGCTCATTGTATTGAAATAAGATTCCCCATGGTTTGAAAAACTTGCTACTTTTTGAAGCTGCTTTTGGCTGAGTCTGAGAAATGCACAGTGTGGGTCAAGTCAATCTGTGCCGTCCTATTGAAGCCTTCTTTCTGTTCTGTCTCCTAGATGCACCCGCTGGGCCTGTGTAATAACAATGACGAAGAGGACTTGTACGAATATGGCTGGGTAGGAGTGGTGAAGCTGGAACAGCCAGAATTGGACCCGAAACCATGCCTCACTGTGCTGGGCAAGGTAAGCCCGAGGCCTCCCAACTCTCCACAATTCGGGTTAGTGTTTCCCACTCTGCCTGTTTCCCCCAACTCCTCAAATAATTGCAAAGCTGAGCCCTGCCCTGTGGGCCCAGTGCACCTTCCTGGCTGAGAGGTGAGAGTGGAGGATTGAGACACCTCCTGCAGAGTCCCCCAGAGTGCCCAGGAGCTTGGGCTGTGAGGGAGATTGGCAGCCCGGGTCAGTGCCATCTCCTGTCCATTGTGCGGGCGTGGGCAAGTTGCTTTCTCTCAAAGAATCTCAGTTTCTCGTCTGTGAAATGGGTTGACAGTGGAAATTCATACTGCCTCGTCTCACACCTTGCGGGCCAGATGTTTTGGAATCTGCGATTTGGAGGGTTTAGAGAGGCGTGAAGGGGCGCATATGTTCTATTAAGTAACCTGAGAGGACCTGGATCGGCCCTCGGGGATCAGACGTGTGTGTGTGTGTGTGGCAAAGTGTGCGGACATGCACATTAAGTGGCCTAACTGAAGTCCAAGTGGCCTCCTGCTGGTTCAGGGCAGCTTTGCTCCCAGTGAGGCAGGGCCATTAAGTTTTGCTGCCAAGGAATTTGTGGAAAAACTTGTGGGTTTCAGAGCTGCTTTGGTGTGGGAACGGCAAACAGCCGTGATGGTCCTGTGTGAGAGCTTACCTCCCGGGGTGGTCAGGAGGCGAAGTGAGACGAGACACTCGGCCCCACAGGAGAGTCAGCCTCAAAGCCTGGTGCTGCCATTGGCTTGCTGTCACCCCACCTAGAAGCGAGGAAAAGGGCTTTGTCGCCAAGAGAGTCAGCGTGACTGCCGAGCACAGGGTGTCGCTCCCCCTCTTCGTGGAGGAACGACACTAAACCCTGCCTAGGCTTCATATCCGAGTCACGGCACCATTATGTCGCTCCCCCTCTTCGTGGAGGAACGACACAGGACCCTGCGCTGTTCTTTCGTCTGCTCGGCCCTCCCCGGGTTTGCTGCTGGTTCTTCCCGGGTTGGCTACTATCCCTTCCACCTCCGTGGAAGGGCAGTTCCCCCTGGCCACATTCCCCACTTCCGCAGGGGAGCGGCACACCGCCGGCCGGCTTTCTCGGGGGGCTGCACAGGTGTTCCTTCAGCTAGATGTTCCCCCTAGATGTTCCCCCTAGATGTTCCCCATAGATGTTCCCGGTGCATGCCGTCTCTCTCCTCCTTTATAGTCCTCCTCTGCCAATCCCAACTCGGCTGCCCACACGCCGAGTACGCTGCTCTCCTCCAATCAGGAGCAAGTCCTACAGTTTATTAGTTGAACTGGAGGCAGCTGTGCGGAAGCTGTTTACTTCTCTCCCAGCGCCATATTGTGGGAGAGCAGATGCATAGAATAAGTCTTAATTCCAGTAACTCAGTCCAGTCCGGATTGCTCCCCACACAGGGTAAGAGAGAAATAAATGTACGTGGGAAAGCTGCCCGTCGAGGATCTTAAAATGTGACAGGTAACAACCTGTTCTGAACTTGATCATTTTGTTAAAAGGAAAGGTGCATTTTTGCCTGGAGGGAAGGTGGTACCTCCCAAGGATGGTATTATGGCCTGAATCTGTTTTGAGATTCTCAAAAGCTGCTGTTCTGGGGACTGTGGGGAAACTGCTGAGGTTTAAAGGGGGAAAAAAAAAAAGCCTGGTTTCTGATCTCTGAGGGCTGCCTTGAGAGACTCGGGTAGAGAAGGGGTGGTTTGGGGGCTGGCGCTGTGGCATAGCAAGTAAAGCTGCTACCTGCAGTGCCGGCGACCCTTATGGGCACCAGTTTAGGTCCCAGCTGCTCCACTTCTGATCCAGCTCCCTGCTAACATTAGCCTGGGAAAGCAGCAGAGGATGGCCCAAGTCCTTGGGCCCCTGCACCCACATGGGAGATCTGGAAGAAGCTCCTGGCTCTTAGCTTCAGATCAGCCCAGCCCCGATCATTTGCAGCCATTTGGGGAGTGAACCAGTAGATGGAAGATCTCCCTCCCTCTCTTTGTAACTCTAGCTTGTAAAATAAATAAATACAGCTTTTTTTTTTGGACAGGCAGAGTTAGTGAGAGAGAGAGAGACAGCGAGAAAGGTCTTCCTTTTCTGTTGGTTCATCCCCCAAATGGCCACTACAGCCAGCGCACTGCACTGATCCAAAGCCAGGAGCCAGGTGCTTCCTCCTGGTCTCCCATGAGGGTGCAGGGCCCAAGCACTTGGGCCATCCTCCACTGCCTTCCCGGGCCACAGCAGAGAGCTAAATACAGCTTTTTTTAAGGGTGGTTTTGATGCAGGTACAAGTTAGAGGGGGAAGCCTTTCCCACACTTGAAGCAAGCCCCTGCCAAGGGCTCCTGCGGCCCCAAGGACCCTCACGGGTCTAATCTGTCGGGGTGTTTTGCATCTCACTCATCTTCTGGGTAGCATCAGGGCATTTATCAAGTTCTCCAGCCCTTTTATTGGACCCACAGAAATTATTTAACACCTGTTATTCAGGCCCTGAAACTTCATCGTTTAAATCCTTGGCCAGAGCTGCTTGACGATGGGAGGAGGGCAGCAGCCCTTGAGAACAGTTTTGTGCTTTCCTAGGAGAAATGCCAGCTGGGTGCAAAGGACGGGAACACTGCTTTCCTTGTAGGCCTTGCCCTCCGAAGAGAATATTTCCGTCCATACTTCCTACACGGCTGCTGCGCAGGGCTCAGCAACTTGACGTCGTCTGCTTTGCCCCCTGTCCGGTGGGGCTCTTGCCTTTGTGTCTCGCACGTCCGTAATGGGGTTGGAACCGTGCTCACAGGGTCACCCTGTTGTTCCTCCCAGCATTCCATTGTAAGGACAATTGTTGAAGTCACTCAGAGAACCCCAACCATTTTCTCCTCCTCCTGGAACAGCCGTGACGGTGGTTTTACTTGGAGACTTTTGTATGGTTTGGCCTGGTGTCCTGTCAAGCCAGGGGGAATAAAAACCTTAGACATATATTGAATCATTAAGCACTTCACGGGCTTATTCATTCACCAAATAGTGAACCATTGCGTGGAGCCCGGAAGGCAGGCGAGCAGCAGCCCCCACCTGTTTCTGTTTGGACAAGCGGAGGGGCGGCCAGGCAGCAGCTACTCATTACAGTTTGGCTTAGAGTTGACTGAATAAAATCATTAGCAAAAAAGAAAAAAGAAAAAAAGCGTGGGTCAGATGGAGGAAGACCGCTGCACATTTGTTTAAAACCTGGGTCGGTGTAGGAGGTTCCGTGAGTCGGGCCAGCCCCTCCTCCTCCCTCTCTGTCATCTTCAGGAATAGTTGTTCTCAGCTTCGCTTCTCATTAACTTTGTTCACTGTGTTGCTTTTTTTTTTTTCCTTTCCCCAGTGCCCCGCCGAGGGTAGGAGCAAAAGACCAGGGGGAAGGAATGCAAGGCAGTGCTCCGGGCAGCCTCGGCCCCCACAGAGCACTTTCCCACCCTTTTTTGCCCCTGGTGACTGTGGCACGAAGAGGTAGGCAGTAGAGAGAGACACAGAAGGTGAGGGAAGAAACCAGCGCAGCCAGTGTGGTGGGGGGCGGGGGGCTCCTCCCCGTCCACGTTGAGACTTGTAGAAAACCCTGGAAAGAGGGCTCTGTTAGCCGAGCCGGTGGGGGGCAGGGGAGGGCTGGACACCTACCCCTCTGCCTCCTGTGGGCCACCCTCGCCCTCCCCAGCCACCCGCCCACAGAAGAGGCCCCAAGGCGAAACCTTGAAGTAAGAGAGGAATGTCCTAAATTAAAAAAACGTAAATGCCTCTCCAGGAGTTCAAATAAAGTTTCGTTTTAAAAGCGAAAGACATAAACTCATCACCTGGGTTTATTACCAGGCGCTTTTGAACTTGTCAGAAGAGAGCACCATAAACTGCTGAGAGAAAGGTGATTTACGATCCCCTCCTTCTCATCTTTCCAGCTCTGTGGGAGGAGGTGCGGATGACAGCACAGCCAGGAAGGCAGAGCTGGGGTACGGGCAGGCAGCACCCCACGGGGAAGCCGCCAGCCTGAGGGGCAGATCCCCCCAGCCTCCCGCGCCACCGCCCTTTCTGGCTTCTCTTGGAGACGCTGTTTTTAGGTTCCTTGCGCTTCTGGTATTTTGAGCTGCTTCTCCATCATATTTAGAAGCTTTTCATGATATCTGGGGATGTTTGAGGGAAATTCTCATCACGTGATTGACAGATGCTCTGTTACCTGCAAGTCCTGGGAGGTTGCGGGACAACAGAAATGACGTTGAGAGTCAGCGGCCCCGGCTCCAGTCGCCCTCAAAGTGCCAGTCTGTGTTTATGCCCCAGGCCTGTTAACCCTTCCATTTGATCCGTGTTTACCAAGCATCTTATGGGGCTGTGAGGAATTCTGAAGACTGACTTTAAGAGCTCCAGCTCCTGTGAGCGGTCAGCCGCGTGCAGAATCCCATGTCAGGGAACACATGAGGTGCTGGGGTGTCTAGCAAAGTCTGTCTGGCCCTGATTGCCTAACTGCAGGCCCCGGCACGCCCACCCCACACTGGAGCCGTGTCTTAGGAGGGTTTCCAAAGATGGTGTAGTCAACTGCCATGAACTCCACTCTGGCCGGTGCTTAAGAGAGCTGGCAGTGGGGGCTGGGGGGCAACATTGTGGCACAGTGGGTTAAGCCATGATACAGGCATCCCATAAGAGCGCCAGTTTGAGTCCTGGGTGCTCTACTTCCAGTTAAGCTTCCTGCTAATTCACTGGAAAGCAGGGGAGAATAGTCCAAGTGTCTGGGCCCCTGTCACCCATGTGGGAGATCAGATGGAGTTGCGGGTTCCTGGCTTTGGCTTGGCCCAGCCCTGTCCATTGTAGCCATTTGGGGAGTGAACAAACGGATGGAAGATTCTCTCTCTGTCTCTCTCTCTCTCCTTCTCTCCCTTTAACTCTACTTTCAAGTAAATAAATAAATCTTCGCTTCGGGGGAGGGTAGTGAGGGGAAGTTAACACAAAAGACATGAAAGGCAGGGAGTTGCATGTCCCGGAGACCCAGCCTTGGCTGAGTGGCCT